TTTTACTCAACAACGACAACAACAACAACAACAACAACAACAACAACACAACAATATTCCCGCTGCGAGAATTGGTTTTCAGCTTGCGTAGGTGACAGGTTCAATTATCGGCACGGTAACTATTGTTTTAGATTTGTTATCTTGTCTAGTGTGTCTTCTATCTTTCTACTTCTTTCTATGAGTGCCGATCAATACACTTTCTGTTACTTGATTAATTCAGCTTGCTTGCGTGCGGTCCATGTCTAGTGACTGAATAAACGTGGCGACCTTCCCATTTTCATTATTGGAGTAATGTTATCTTTCACTCGTTATGTTCTCTTTCACTCGTTATGTTCTCTTTCACTCATTATGTTCTCTTTCACTCATTATGTTCCCTTTCACTCGTTATGTTCTCTTTCAATCGTTATGTTCTCTTTCACTCATTATGTTTTCTTTCACTCATTATGTTTTCTTTCACTCATTATGTTTTCTTTCACTCATTATGTTCTCTTTCACTCATTATGTTCTCTTTCACTCATTATGTTTTCTTTCACTCATTATGTTCTCTTTCACTCATTATGTTTTCTTTCACTCGTTATGTTCTCTTTCACTCGTTATGTTCTCTTTCACTCATTTTGTTCTCTTTCTCTCGTTATGTTCTCTTTCACTCGTTATGTTCTCTTTCACTCGTTATGTTCTCTTTCACTCATTATGTTGTCTTTCACTCATTATGTTCTCTTTCACTCGTTATGTTGTCTTTCACTCGTTATTTTCTCTTTCACTCATTATGTTCTCTTTCACTCATTATGTTCTCTCATCAAGCATTTTGACTGCAGTCTCTGTGTCATCTTCAACTATTCAGGTAGACTCGTGGGAATAAAATTGCAACAACGTTGTAGTGTGGAGGGGGGAATATCCAGAAGGGAATAGGAACAAAGGAAACACAATGATTGAAGAAAGGTTGAAAGGTGAGCGTCTGAGAAGGAGTACACTAAATAAATATGATGTCACTAAGTATCCTGATATTGCATGCTCTGTTTGTGGAAGGCGTTTCTTTACTTGGGCGGGTCTTGCTAGTCACACTCGCCATCGCCATGGGCTATGAGTCCCATGCCTCTTTATAGCACAGTATAACACTATCGTTTGGAAAAACGGAAAGGTGCCAACAATGTGCTCTCTGCGACTGATAGCCGATTTGGGGTGTGCGATTTTCAACAATTATCTTGATTTCATTTGATTTGATTCAAGAAGGGACATCACAGCACTCGGGGCATTCCCATAAGAGCTTCGTCACCATCTTCAGCAGCCAGTGAAGAGTTTCGATACTTATGGTGCCAGTAGCATTCTGATTAAACGTCCGTCTTGCCTTTCTTCTGAGCCTCGAGCATCTGCCAGAACCTCTCGTCACTCCCCCACTGCATCAATCCCAC